AGTCCTGGCTGGCCCTTTTGACCACATTGTTCTTCTTGGAGGAGAACTGATTCTGGTGGCCGCCCATGGCCTCCCACATCAAACTCTGCCTTCTGACTCTTGCCTTCTCTGGTCAGCTACTGTTTTTATGCAGCCTAAAGTCCCTCCAGAACATTAGAAATGGAACGGCCCATCATTACTCACTGATTTTCTCCATGTCCCTGTGATGGAGCCAATTGAATTAGCCGTTTGCCTCCAGATCCCTCCTGGTTTTCTGCAGAGGCTGGAATACTTCCCTGCACACAGGATACACATCTGGCCTCCTTGGTTGAAAGCCAGTTATCAGAAAAGGGACAGTTAGAATATTACTGATTTATTTCCTCTTCTTTTATCTTCCTCCACCCCCCCCCCAAATTGTTTTTCATTACATTTGGTTAGAGTAGGGAAAAGTGCTTACTTTACAGATTGTGTTTACCATTTAGGCCCATATGGAATTCTCTAGAAGGTATTGCCTAGAAGGTGGGAAATCAAGGTGGTGGGTGTGTGACCTGCTCTGGTGGGAAAGAGAGGGTGGGGTGCTGGGGAGCCACCGAGACTATCTTGAGGGGGTCATCACCTTGTTGTCAGGTCTGGACTAGGGTGCCAGTGGTCCATTTGATCCTTCAAAGGCAGTGGTGGGACTGGAATCATTTTAGGTAGGAAGGTAGGGGAGTGGGTGGTGCCCCTTACATGTAACTCCAGCCCAGCGTTGGAGAGGTCATTTGCCTAAAGTAAAAAGCACTGAAAGGAAAATTAAAAAAAATATTTTCCCCGCCAATTCTGAATGGAGGTAAGTGCAAAGTAGGTGGGAGAAGCCCTAATTTGAGTAGGGCCTGTGGTAAAGAGGAACTGCTGACCTTTGTAATTTGGACCCTCACACCTTGGGGGGGGCCCTCTGTGAGGGGGAGGTGGGCACGAGCCAGGACCCAGCAGAATTACCAGCGTTCTCAAATGCCGCAGCTGGTCTCAGCTGCAAACGGAATTTCTCAGAACCTGTCAGATGCATTAATGTTTTTCTTTTGAGACTTACCATCGTAGGCGCTCAAAAAAAGTTGAATTTGAAAGGCAGACATACAATTCTGGGTTATCCCGGTGCCTGGGTCTTCGCTGGAAACAAAACGCACTCTGATCTCTCGCACTGCCTAATTTGATTTTATCAGAAATGTATACACACAGAAATTTCCCCTGTAGGCTGAGAGCCCTGCTGAGAAATTTTAGCCCAGAGTGTAATTAGCCCGAGAGAGTTAGCAGCATTGGAAAATAAAACCTCATATGGTAAAATGTCCCAATTACGGCGATGGTGTCAGTTATTCACTCCTAATATCTGTGTATTTATCTCATCATCTTGTCTGGTTAACGAATGCGACCAAGACAATCCTCTCCCACTGTTGCTCAGTAATGGGCCATGGACGTGGCGTATCTTTGCCTTATTTTTGCTGGCACGTCCTAGCACTGAGGCACATTAGAGTAATAAAATTAGGCAGCATGGCATCCTCGTCCCTCCCACCACGTTCCCGTAACCCCCTCATTTACAACAGGTCAAGACAGAAAAAAATTGTTTCAGAGCAATTTAAGATGAGGCAACACGGGATATGTAAATCCTGTTTCATTGGCAGTTGCCTTAGCTACTTAATTCTTCCAAAATGCCTAACAGCCTCAGTCCACCAGGCGTGCTGGGTTGGAACAACTCCATTTTAAGGCCACAGGGTGGAAAATGTACAGTCGCAGCCTTCATCACTATCTTCCAAGCTGTGGGCCCTGGGGCCCCGCAGACCATTGTCCCACCCTTCCGGCCACATGTTTTGTCCCAGCTGCAGTTCCAGGAAGGAGCCTGTTAAGAAGTTCACGTTTTGACAGAGTTGGATGACAAAGGCAGTTTTTATTTTTTGAGAAACCTATCGCTCCTACCCCATTTATTTCTCCTAAAGAGATAGCTGCCAGGATGTAGGAAACGGCGAGAACAATTTCAAGGGAAAACATAGGCTTGAGTTTGATTGAGACTGTTGAAGATACAGAGCAAGACAGAGAGACCTGGGCAAGAGAATTATGCTCCAGGAGGTGCGCAGAAAGCGGCCGGTTGCAGAGGCCGGTCCCAGACACTGGGCTCTTTGTGAAGGTGAGCTTCCTCGAGACGCCCAGCGACGGCAGAGGGCGCGGGGGCTCAGCGGGGATTTGCAGCATTCAGAATGAGTTATAACAGGATTCCCAAGGTCGGGGAGACAAGGGAGGAAGAGAAAGAAAACAATTGCCCCACTCTGCACAACTTATCTCAGACTTTACTGTGCTTAGAGGAACTACTATAAAAATAAGAGGTTTAAAAGCTGTGGAACAAGTCAGGACTGGCCAAAGTATGTGGCTTTGTGTCCCTGTGCCTTCGTCTCCCCCTCTCACCTTTTCTCGGCTTGGCTCTGCCCAAACCTGCAGGAGTTAAGAAAGCACTGTAATTTCACAGCCTCACAAGCAGCGGGCCGCTGGGAGTTTTATAGAACTCAGCTCTGCTCTCCTTGCTCCGGAACGGAGTGAGGAGGAGACGGGGCAGCCTTCCAAATGGCCATGACCCTGAGGTGGGGAATGGCCTCAGGTGGCCAAGGGGGCGCTATGTCAGGGCCCATTGGATGCATGGGTCCTAACTGTCCATCTCCTCACCCCTCAAGTCCTAGCAACTTCAGGCTCTAGCCCCTCCCCTCTAGTAGGTGGACAGTCAGTGAGTGAATGCTGCAGGGAGGAAGGTTGAGCTAGAGGGGTTGCAAGCGCGTGAAGCAAGCACCTAGAGCTTAGGGGACTCCGAATGCAGTTGTCTGAGTCTATTGGTGCCTCAGTGTGTGCATTAAGTCCACCCATTATCTTCATGGGCCCTTGACCACCAACATCAATCACCTTAGGGCACCATGTTAAAAATCCACCCCCCCATGCCAGACCCACTGGATCTGACTCTCTGTATTTTATTTTTGAATTAAATATTTTTACTTTCTTTTCTTTCGTATTGGAATAAAATGTGCAGTAAAGTACCCAAACCTTAAGACTTTGTCAGTTGAATATACCTGTGTAACCACCACCCAGATCAAGATATAGAATATTTCTACCTCCCTCCCATCTTTCCCAGACAATACCCAGCTTCCAGAGGCAACTGCTATTCTGACTCTCATCACATAGGGAATTTTGCCTGCATTTGAACTTCACCTACATTGAGTTATACAGGACTCATCTGAGTCTAGTTTCTTTCTTTCAACATTATGTATGTTGAGAGTCATCCACATTGTTGCTTATGGTAATAGCTAATTCTTTTCCATTGTGGTGTAGCATCCTATCATATGAATGTCCTAGTCTTATTTATTCATCCTACTCTTGATGGTATCTGGGTTGTTTCCAGGCTTTGGCTATTATACTAAAACTACTAAGAACTTTCGTATAAGTGTCTTTTGTGCCCATAAACACTCATTTCTGTTGGGAATGGAATTGCTGTGTCATAGGGTAAATGCAGATCTAGCTGTGGTAGATAACCGCCAAAGAGTTTCCCGAAGTAGTTGTACCCGTTTGCACTCTGATCAGCTATGAATGGCAATTCAGTTGCTCCGGATTCGTGTCCACACTTGGTATTGTCAGATCCTTTCACCGTAGCCATTCTGGTAGGCGTGTAGTGGTATCTCTTTGTGGTTTTAATTTGCGTTGCCCTGCTGGCTAATGATGTTAAGAACATTTTCCTGTGCTTATTGTTCATTTGGATTTCGCCTTTTGTGAAGAGGCTGATCAAGTCTTTTTAAAATTGGGTTGTGGGTCTCTTATCCTCTTAATTTGTAGGGACATCTTGTTATTAACAACCTCTCTGGGTGACTTAAGAACACTAACGTCAGAGAACCAACTCTCTGAAGTACTCCTTAAGTTGTCCAGTTTTCTTGAGGCATCTTTTTTCCTTTCTTCAATTTGCAAACTAGCAGCTTACTTTCTGCCTTGTGTCCTTCTGTTATTCGGGTCATAGATACAGTGCTTTCCCCTCAACTTTCTTTTGACTACATCTGGCAGAAATGGACTTCATGGATTAAATATGGCTGCCTTTTGGTCATCGAAGGCTGGCTGAGTGTGGCGCTTGAGGTCTGGAAATGTGAGGAGCGTGTCCAGGCCACTTCTTTGCCTTTCCAGCAGCATTTTATTTGCACTGTAACCTTACCAGCCTTGTGTGGAGTGGAGAAAGGCGGGAAGACAAAGAAGAGATTCGGAACATCCTAGGAGTCGCAAAGCCCCACATCTGCCTACTCTTCTCTAACACCTGCCTTTCTCCTCCGCCAGGAGCCCACAAGAAGGAGGACATGTGTTCCGTATGTTTCTATGCTTGTGTTTGAGGTGTGTGTGTAGGGGACCTGCTTTGTGTCATCAGAGAGGAACTGTTTCATATCCTTCCACCCTCGACACCAACTGTGCAATAATCTACCTTCTAAGTACAGATGCTCCCCATCTTTCTGCCACCCCATGACTCAGATGAGGGGATACAAAAGTTTTGTAATGTCCAGGGATCGTTCTGTAGACGAGCAGAGCAGAGACCATTCAGGATGGTGTCCCGGTGGGAGAGTCTGCTGGTCTGTTTTTAAGCATGATCATCCTGGGAAGAGACGTGTGTTGCTTCTGGAGAGGATCACAAGATAGAGGGAAGGAAAGAACATGTGTTTTTTCTTTGCTTTGGGGAGCAAAGGGTGTTCCCTGCTGCCGCTCTGCTCTTTCCCTCTGTGAACTGCTACTCAGAGGCCCAACGTGGCAGGAAGTGGTGAGGTGGTAGGAAGGGAGAAAGAAAATGCTCAGTGCAGTGCATGTGTGTCCTCTCTCTCCCTCCCCCCACCTCCAATTTGACATAGAGGCTGAGTGAAATGGCCTTAGAAGGATATTTACAGCATCACGACCGTTAACGAAAATTTATAATGATTTTGTGTGCATGCGTTGCGGAATATAATGGTGAGACTGGCTCTGATAAAGATTTCTTTTTCCATTTGTAGGCTGGTTGTGATGGTGAGAGTATTGGAAATTGCCCATTTTCTCAGCGTCTCTTTATGATTCTCTGGCTAAAGGGCGTTATATTTAATGTGACAACAGTGGACTTGAAAAGGTAAGACAAAGTTTCTGCATTATTGAAATAACTGTACTCTATTCCCTATACACACACACACACACCGCCCCATACATGATATCATGGCATGTCCATCCACAGTCAGGACCCTGAATTGAAGCCTGAGGGTGGGCCTGAGTGTGGGCCAAACAGTAATTATGGGATCGGATCAGACGTGATCAGGAAGGAGCAGAGTTGGGAGTGCCGTAAGGAACCTGCTCTCCCAGTTATTGATCAATTGTGAACCTCTTGAAAGCCTGTCTGAGCAGCACTTCTGGCTGATAACCCTGGAGAGAGTTAACTATTTCACCTCCATTTCCAGAAAAAGGGCTAGATTTTCATTGCCAGTGAGACGTTTTGTTAACCCACAACCTCCTTTGAAATACTCGAGGGTTGTTTCTCTTAAATTGTGGAGGATGTGGCTAAGCTTTGGAAATGAGCTCAAACACTGGCGGCTGCCTATAAACACCGCTGTTCACTCCCACCCAGGAAACCCGCGGACCTGCAGAACCTGGCGCCCGGAACAAACCCTCCTTTTATGACTTTTGATGGAGAAGTCAAGACGGATGTGAATAAGATCGAGGAGTTCTTAGAGGAGAAATTAGCTCCCCCAAGGTACGTCTCATCAAAACGGCATTCACAACTTGGTTGTCACTTTCCCCCTTCACAGAGAGTGCTAAAGCTCTCGGCTTTGTGGGTTTGGATTTCTGTGGCCATGGTATTTGCTTCATAACTGTACCGTGGTGTGCCACAGAAAACACAGAGCGAGATCAGAAACCTTGAGTTACGGTGGCTGGATTTCTTTGCTCTGCACCTGCAGGTTGGTAATTAGGGTTTGACAGCAGGAAGTGGGGAAGAGGTTGGTTGGTGTTGTGTGGGTTGGTTGGTGTTGCGTGGGTTGGTCATTTCTTAGGTACATACACTGCTGGAAGGTAAGGACTGTGTGCTAAGGTGCAACGTCACAGGGTGCTAGATCTGGAAAAGAACCTTCTGGTCCATCACCTTCATTTTAGTAGAGAGAGAACGAAGACTAGGGAGGCCAGATGGGGCCCTGTGTCCCAGGATGAGAATAATCAGTCCCAGACTTTCCTTCAGACTATGCTGCTCCCAACCTTGAAGATAAAAAGATTAGGAGGATATTAAAGGGAAACTTTCATTTTTATATCCACTGAGAGAAAGACGTTCGCCACCCCCCCCACCATTGTATTGTCCTAACTCACACATTGCTTATCTGTGATACTTCAGTTTTGCATTTTTCAAGGTACCCTAAGCTGGGAACCCAACACCCTGACTCTAACTCTGCGGGAAACGATGTGTTTGCCAAATTCTCAGCGTTTATAAAAAACACCAAGAAGGATGCACATGAGAGTGAGTAGCTCCCATCTTCCGGTTTTCTATTTGCAATGTGGACCTCCACTTGGCCCCTGGTGTGCCTTCTTGTAAGATCCTGGGAATTCTGACTCATTTCACAGTGGGGAGGGACCTGTGTCTAGAAATAAGGAAAAAGTACCTCCAACTTTGAATCTGCATATGGGTTTCAAGACATTGAGTGCTTCTTCTTGCGGTTGGGAGCCCAGAAAATGACTTTTTTTTTTTTTCCTGGGAAAGATTTGCCCTGAGCTAACATCCGTTGCTAATCTTCCTCTGTCTTTTTTTCTTTTCCTCCCCAAAGCCCCACTACATTGTTATATATTCTAGTTGTAGGTCCTTCTAGTTCTTCTATGTGAGCCACTGCCACAGCATGGCTACTGACAGACAAGTGGTGTGGTTCTGTACCCAGGGAACTGGGCCTGGGCCGCCAAAGTAGAGCACGCTGAACTTTAACCACTAGGCCATCAGGGCTGGCTCAAAAATGACTTTTTTAAGAGGATATAATCACCAGCAGGAGTTCCCAGCCACACCATGGGAATCAGTTTAAATGAAGCTTCTGCCAGTGCCTACTTCATTATAGGATTTCCATAAAGATTTTTGAATAAATGAGTGAGTTCTAGAAGCAGCAGTGTTGTGTAGACAGTGGGATTATTTTCCAAGGAGGAGTGAGTGATTTGTTCAGATCTTGTAAATCCACCTCCTTCCTTCCCAACTCCCTAGTGCCCACTGGCCAGGGAGACAGTATCCTTCCTTCATATCTAGAGAAAGGTGACGCTAACTCACATGGCTTATCTTAGTCATTTTTTGCCTTTCTGTTTTAGTTTATGAAAAGAACCTGTTAAAGTCCCTGAGGAAGCTGGATAATTACTTAAATAGCCCTCTGCCTGAGGAAATAGATGCCTACAGCACTGAGGAAGTTGCTGTTTCTGGAAGGAAGTTCCTGGATGGAGATGAGCTCACGCTCGCCGACTGTAACCTCTTACCCAAGCTCCATATTATTAAGGTTTGTGGTTCCTCCTACCACGGTGCTGAATACATGAATGGGGCTTTGTTTTATTTTGTTTGACTTGTGTTTTGGCCAGACATCGACACTATCTAAAATGTGGACTCTTGAATTAAAAAGTCTAGCTTGTTTCTGTGTGAGGCAGCCAAACCCCAAGTTTCAGATACATGGATATTCTCAGGTATTCTTCACATATTCTCAAGAAGCATCTGTGAACTTGGCTTCCATCCCTCCATCCTCTCTGCTTCTCTTTTCAAGTCTTACTCCCACAGCATAAGGAAAAGTTATGTGAAAGCCACTTGAGGGAATACATTGATTATACCTGGCATTTTAATGCTCAAGTGTTGGAGATGATGTGTGGAATCTGTGAGTATTAAAATGTGAATTCAGTCAATTGTTGGTGATTGTTGGGGTAAACACAGCCCTGTCTAGGGATGACGTAGGAGTGTTCTCTCAGATCTTAACATTGACCTCCTACAGTGAGGGAGCAGCTGACAGCTCCTTGGCTGGGCCTCTGTCGTATATGGCTGGGCCATATGTCGTATACGACATATGGCCATATGTCGTATATGGCATCATGTCTTCCCAGATAGTTGAACATGAAATAAACAGTCATGGGTCATATATTATTAGGGTTTAAAGATGCCCTAGACCAGTGGTTCTCCAACATTAGTAGGCATAAAAATTGTTAGGGGAGTTTTTTAGAAATATAAATCCCCTGATCCAGCCCCTGACCTACTAAATCAGAACTTCTGGTGGTGACCTTGAGATTCTGACGCAGATGGCCCACACTTGGACTCCTTAGTTACAGCTGTCTCTCAGTAGTGCCCCCAGCCTCTCTGTCACGTAAGGTGTTAACTGTGATTATCACTATCACAATTGCTATGTCCTTGGCCCTCAGTAGTCTCAGATGCCCCAGGAAGAAGCCCAAGCCTTATTCTGGGGCATCTTGATTATTCAAATCCCACCGGGTCCAGAGCTAGATCCTTGGAATAAGGATAGGGCAGAGGGGAGAGGACACAGGGAAATACAAGTCAAGGACCCTGTGTTCTAATGACATGTTGAATTGGCATTAGAAATTTACCAATTAGGGTCACACAATCTGTGGCACTGATGCTCCTACAGGCTACCAGCTCCCCCCTCTGGTTACTCATGTCATTCCCTTGCCTTCTTTTCCTGCATTTCTTCTTCCTTCCCTATGCCCCTCCCAATCCTTGCCCCATTTCTCTCCTTTCTTCTCTCTTCGCTGTTGTGCTCAAGGAATGCCAACTTGAAATTCCAGCCTTAAAGCTGTTGCTGATTCTGCAAGTGAATGTACTTTTCAATAACTTTGCCAGTGCCCTGACATCTAAAATTTAATGAAAACATCTCAACCCCTCAAACCTGCTGTGTTGGTGGTTGTCCAAACTGGAAGTTTGGGAGCCATTTTCCAATAAAATATTTATGTAGTTGTGTTTTGGTTTGATCCCTTAAGTGAATTTATTCTAATCATTGCTATGACTCGTGTAGCATTGCAGAAGTACATGGAGGTTGGGGAAGAGCAGGAGAAATACCCCAGCCATACAATATCAACTGCCACTTGTTTAGGCCCTGTGAAAAAAGACTATTTTACGTTTCAGTGGAAGGGGTAAACTTCAGAGTAAATAAGCAGTGCACGGCTCCAATACAAGACCTCATAGCAAAATCTTCAAAGCCATTTAGCACTCTAAATATCAAACAGCTTAATAATCTTCCAGGATGGAGCACTTCTGAAAGGAAATGAGAATCAGTCTAAAGGAATTTATGGTAAAAGATGAGAGAGTAAAGGAATCCATAATTTATTTCCCTTCCTGAAACCCAGCAAAAACGATTTGAAAAAAGAGAGCATTAGATTTATCTTTCTTAAAACCAGAAAAGGACAGATCACCAACTCAAAGGCTAAGAAATTTCCTCCAGTGCAAGGTGCCACAGAGCCAAGGCATGCTTCTCTATATCTCAACAAGGTTCAGATTTTTCTAAAAGTGAATAATACAGTCCTGAAATGCCCAACCCAAACTTGTCTGTTTGAGGCCTTGGGCATGGAGTAGGCCTCAGAGAAGCAAAGAACATCCCTACAGAGATCATTTTCAAGCTGAGATCTCTGGAGGCAGGGTTGAAGGAGGAGCCATACAGAGGAACCATCTTTGTTTTCTGCCATCGTCCTCTTTCCAAAGGAACAGGGAAGGGAGGTGGAGTTGAGGAGAGAAGGGAAATGGCATTCTGCTTTGTGACTGCTGAGCAGAGAAAAGAAACAAGCCTTAAACCAGTCAAGAGAGAATATAAATTACCTGTGCTTCATTGTTAGCCATGGTAACCTCCTGCCTAATCTCTGAGCCTCCGAGTAGAAGATGCCCTAACCCTGACCCTGACCCTGACCTTGACCCTAACCCTAACCCTGACTCTGACTCTAACCTTAATGTGTCCCTGGAGCAGAGTATAGAGCAGTGTTTGGTGAGAGGGTGTTTGAGGGTAAATATCCAAAATGGTCTACCAGTTGCCCTGTCTCACTCTTTGCCCTCCGCACTATTTTTAAGAAATAGTAGGTCCAATAGACCTGCCTCGTTAAAAGATGATTAATAACCAGAAAGAATCCAAGTGGGCCCTCCATGTAGATAGAGATGATCAAAAAGGGGAGGGGAAAAAGGATAAAGAGAAGGAACAAAAGAGGAAGAGGCACATGAGAAACACATATCTGATGAAGAATTGCTCCAGTAAATGAAAGAACATTCCAGACAGATACTTCTCTACAGCCTCAAAGAAATGAAGGAGGGGGCCGGCCCCGTGGCTTAGCGGTTAAGTGCGCGTGCTCTGCTGCTGGCGGCCCAGGTTCAGATCCCGGGCGCGCACTGACACACCACTTGTCAGGCCATGCTGTGGTGGCATCCCCTATAAAGTGGAGGAAGATGGACACAGATGTTAGTCCAGGGCCAGTCTTCCTCAGCAAAAA